TCGGTTGTTTAAAGAGCCTTTTGCACCAAGTTGCTCCATTATATATATATATATATATATATATATATATATATATATATATATATATATATATAATGGAGCAACTTGGTGCAAAAGGCTCTTTAAACAACCGAGCTTCGAAACGTACCGTATGCAACTGTGAGAACAAGCCCGAAGAAACGCCCATCTGGAAGAGGGACGCGTACCATCCCACCTACCCGTATGTGCCGAGTTACCCAACTCAGATGTCGTAGCGCTTTCAGCAATTAGATTGAAACTAACCAGTGGTAACGACAAAAAAATCCTGGACGAATGGAGAGGTGCTATTGCACGCTACAAGTAAACCATACCTAATACGGTCTGGAATTTGTTGGATAAGAAGCACTGGAGTTCATGTGGAAAAACCGCGGGATGGCAATAACGAAGATGGAAAAAACGGTGGAGACACTGAAAACGATGGGCAACAGACTGAGGCAGATAGCCTGATGTAATCATCGGCCGGAGAGGAGCACTCAACGTCTTGAAAAAGGGGTGGCCAAAGTTACCATCCGCTATTCAGGTGGGAGGAACTACTCAAAACAGGAAGGATGTATTGTATTTATATATATATATATATATATATATATATATATATATATATATATATATATATATATATATATATATATATATATATAGTACACCGGCTTGAAAACAAGCATGGTGCCCACGCAACAACAACGGAGAAAAATTACAAAGTCGAAAAGTGGGGGATTAATAGTCGGTATAAAGATGACAACAAGTAAAAGCTTTTTTTTAATATTTTCACGGTTCACGTTTTGGAAATTTTTTGGTTTTCAATTGTCTATGAGGAACGGGAAGTCAACAGACAGGCTATACAGCATTCGCGCCACTGGATTCGGTTCCGAGCCATTTCTCTCAGCGTCCCTAACCCACAGCAATCCCCATGTCTCGGGCGATATCATCGGCGTACTCTAAGTCAAAGACTGTTCTCTTGCAGAAGTTCAATCCCACCGTTGGGAATGCCAGACAAAGCGTTCTGTAGAACATCCTCTGTAGCAAAGTTGAAAAGAATCGGGGATATTAGCAACTTTGTAGTGCTCGACTGGAGAAGACATAGGATGGCGAAAGCTAGCCATAAGCCCTAATTCGACCTTAGGTTTGATGATACAACTATTTGAGGACCGACACGTACTTCTCAGGTACACCCTTCCTTAAAAAACAGTGCCATAGTACATACCTATCGACAGAGTCGAAGGTCGCGTGAATGTCTAGAGACGCAACGAACATTGGCATTTGGAAGACGTAACGCTGTTCTAACAGCTTTCGGAGAGTTAAGATTTGATCGATGCATCTATGGTCGTTACGAAACCCATTCTGTTCCCCGCCAGTTTGCTCATCACGCGTGTTGTACAACCTGCGAAAAATGACAGACGCTGGCAGCTTGGGCGCTATCAAGATTAGGCTTATCCCCCTGTAGTTGACGCAATCACTGAGCGAGCCCTTCTTGAAGATGGAGGCAACGATTGATTCTCCCCAAAAGGTGGGAACTTTTTGGGAGTACCATACCTTAGAGTACAAGGCTTGAAGTTCTCTAAGAAGCTCCATTCCACAGTCTTTAAACAGAGCTGAGGAAGGGCCATTGGAGCCCGGCGCTTTTTGACGTTCTAGGGCTTGAGTTTCCTTGCAGATCCCCGCCTCGGAAGATGGATCTGTCAAAGAAGACCGCGAGACGTGTGCCAGAACAGCTATGAGAGTCTGACGCCGTAGGCCAGCTAAACTGTGCTTTAAAGTGCTCGGCTCAGCGTACAAGACGTCGCTTCAGACTGTGGATAGCCGAACTGTCAGCTTCGCCGATCGTTTCGCTCACACCTGATGGTTTCCTACCGGTGACTTGGATGAGACGAATTAGTTTGCGAAAATGTTCCATAGCGGCAGCATGTTCTATCTCTGATGCTGTTTGAGACCGCCAGATTTCTCAATCCCTGCGAGGACTTGCTTTGAGTTCACGTCTCGTTGTGAACTGTGTTGCAATATGCTCACTACCAACCGGGATGAACTGGCGTGCATCAAGAAGGCGTAGAGGACCGACAGAAATCCAGGGTGTAACGACGCGACGATTCGGGCCATAGCTCACTTCGTCGGCAGAATACAAAGCATTCCTAACAAGCGACCAGTGCTTTTGTTGATGATATCTGGCAGCATTGATCTTAGTTTTTCACGTTAAACGTTTCGGAAATCTGAGAGGCAAGTCGGGTCAGACAACATTTTGCAGTCTAACTGCTGCTGCATCGTACGTTTGGCTCGCCCACCGAAGCATGTGGACAGCTCAGTGCACACTGATACGTGGTCGGAGTCAAGGGAAGTGCTCCAGTACGACCAGCAGTCTTGTATGCAGCCCCGCCATTTGTAGCTAATTCCGACGGGGTCTATCTGGGTCCATTTTTGAATCGAAGAGGACGGACGCCGCGTAGCGTACCGGCGATTAGAACGTCTGAAACTCGCACTGGCGAAAAACAGGCGATGATCTAAACATAGAGCCAACAACTGTTTTCCGTTTTCTGAACGACAGGAATCAAGGCCAAAAGGACCTCTCGAATACGCCTCGTTCGAAGACAGCTGACTGACTCCAGTATTGGTGTCTCCAGTTAGAATCACAATATCACCCCGTTTTCCCTTACGCAGGAGGTCGTGTAACTTTTGGTGGAAAACATCTTTGATTGCATCCGGGCTGCAATCTGTGGGGACAAAAGCCGAGGCGACAAAAAAGTTGCGGCTATCGGGATGGCATTTTCTTACTTTGCGCGAACCTCCAAGTCTCACTGCGCACAGCCTACTGTCAACTGGGATCCAGTCAAGTAGCGCAGCCTCATCCCTTTCACTGAGAGCTACACCTACGCCAGCAAGATCAGTAACCTCAGCCTCAGAGTCCCCAAAAAAACGCAAGTCATACCTTGCAGGACCGGATGGGGCACCAGTCGAATGACCGAGCTGGAGTCTTGGGTGCGAATTTCTTAAATACAACACACGTCGATAAAAAGAATCTTCAGCGTACAAACTAAACACGCCTGTTGTCCTATACGCATCAGCGTTCGCACAATAAATGTGGCTAGTTTGAGAGGACGCCTGGGACGAAGAAGAGCATCAGCTGGTGGAAGCGAGTTCGGCGAGACTTGGATATCACACGAAGGAGTATGCGAGAGAGGAGTAACAGGACTTCCTTGAGGGACACTACCGCAAGTACGGCCGACTTCAGTTTCCCAAGAATATGAAAATGTGAGTGTGCGGGAGTGAAGTGCGGAATTAGATGGATCTACGTATGTGCACAGTGTGAGAGCGCCAGTGTAAGCATGTGTTTGACGGTAGTAACAAGCGTGTATTAAGAAATCCATCAGTTTCGCTATTGTTGATTTGGAATATACCAAATGAAAGGCTCGCGTTAGCCGATCCGGAAGTACCACTGACGTGGTAGATCGAAAATAACATCCATCGCATATATGTAAGCACGGATCAACCTGCTTAAACTGATTCTGGCTCGTTTGCTTGGATAAGCATCGTTCAATCACTACTAGTAATCAGTTTTTTTGGCATCATGAAAAGTCAAGGCCAAGACCCTCGAGTGCATAAAGCAGTATGCGGAGAAAGTCTTGTGCAACCAGTGTAATAAATACGTGTGACTGTCATAAATGAAACACTGAATCGCTTAGTTCCTTTGCACAAGGTAATAACCAAAGCTGAATTACCCATAGAGAATAACCTGAATTTTTACCTTGTAATTGCAGCACATGTCTGCTATTCCATGGAAACTGTGTTTTTGGATGTTCTTCCCAAATTCTTTGTACGACATGTAACACACAAGTACAACGCTATCAGCACACAGGCCATCAAGCAATCGTCAGTACAGTAGAGAATGTGACTAAACGTCACGAGGTCGAAACGGTGACGAAGGCCCAGTGCATTACTCGTGGTGGACGCCGTCTTTTTGTACGATTATAGGGCCCAGCCACAATCCCAAAGACCTATTAAGGAGAACCGGCGACCGTGACTTTGAATGGAGAATCACATTAGGCCTCAGGCGGTCAGGCGTGACAATGACCATAGCGGCAAAGAAGTGCTATCTGTTTTTAACTGTTCCACTAACTCTAATGAGAAGACTATTCTACACTCGAATCATCTCTGTTTATTAGTACGAAATAAATCTTTTACATAAGACGTACGATGAACATAACCAAATCCTTGCCTCCAAATTTATATGCTCTATTGGTATTGATGATCGACTCTTCTAGCTGCAGCCCGATTGGCTGATTCGGATCCGATCGGTTCTAATGACTATAGGTCACTGATAGATCCATCACTTGGCTTCGATGGCCCCAATCTTATCCTCGATTCTGGACCAGCGGCGACGTACTGTTTACTTAGCAAATAACCGATTTGCTTCGCTGAGTCTAACCATACCGTTGATTCTGGACAGGCGAAGTCATGCTGTCTCACCAACATACTAGGGATTCTTTGTTTGTGTCTGCTGCTATCCTCACACTGTCAACCATCGGAAAGGAAAGCCATCCAGTCTAGTACTACTTCTAGCACTACTAAACCATAAAGGAGGTCGATTCCTTCGGACATATTGACCAAGTACAGCCGATGCCCAACCGGACAGACGGTCAACAACCTACACACAGATGTGCGAGTATTCAGCATATATCGCTCGTACGAATATCATTACTTCGATTGGTGAATTAAAACGCCCATTAAAAAAAGGAAACCTATGGTGCAGTCCAGCTCATCAGCATATTGGGATATGGGGAAACTGTCTCGTTTTTTATCGGACTTGAACAATGTCGTAAATTTAGTTTGTGACTTCCTTATGTTGCTGTTGATACGGTAGAACCATTGATGAATACGCCTTTCTAATCTGTTTTGTTTCTCTCGAGTTGATCTCATTTTCCAGAAGATAAAGTGTTTAATCTACTATAAATTTCTCATTCCCCACCTCCTTTTAGAACCGGCCTTTGTGGACACTCAAGCAAATATTTATCCAAACTATGCCAGGATATTGATGCAGTTTAATTTACCTTCAATGCTCGTTGATTTTTTACTTTATCGTGAATTTTGGCCGGTAGAAAAGTCAATTCCTGAGCGCTTTTTAGCGGAGCCTGTTTCCAAGCGGGGTTGCTACCACATATGGACAGAACAATTCGGCGTCGGCATACGAATAGAACACGGATTTATCCCAGATAACAAGCAAGTTTGATAGGTCAAACTGTGGTTCAGTGATGAAAGATGGACGTTGTGGACTAAAACGGTACATTCTTGGGGGTCAGGATTAACGAACAACGTGTCGGATTTTCTCACATTCAGGTTACCGAGATGCGTTCTAAATCCAGCCGTTCTGTCAACATCAATGGGCACTCGCTTTGAACACGTTATTGGAAAACAGAAAACCTGTATCGAAATTGACCACTGTAACTTGTTTGTATACTATGAAATTATTTCCCCAGTTAATAATGTTTCTCTTTATGACCTCCAGAAGTGAAGGGTAATAAAACACGCTCTGGTTTTTACAACGTATGTTGACTTAATCACAGAACCAAAAAGGAACCTCAAGTGATGCTTTGATTCACGATGTTGTAGCTCGGTTTGATCAGAGCGAGGTGATTTGTTGGTGATTGTGAAAACTTGAGCAGAACTTTCTGTCTCTAGCTAATGTCACAAGATAGCATTCCGACGGATTATCATGAATCTGGTTATTGATAATGTTGTATCCGGTAATAAGTAATACATATTTTTCCAGTCGTTTAAGAGCCTGTGGCAATCGTTCAAGATCCAACGGCAATCAATAAAGGCCTGCAGCGATCGTTTAACGGCCTTTGACGATGTTTAAAATACCATGGATAACATTGTGATTCGCTGCCTGTTCGTCCATCGTGGCTTGCATATTCTAATTAGTTTTATCTTTGTAAAATCGTAAGACGGAGCTACCGTGCTGCTGTAACCACATTGCGTATTGAGCTCGCCTCTCTTTGACATCAGTCCCATTTCGCCTTATCAGATGTAGGCATAGTTTCTTCATATTGTAACCAGGACCACCGAGAAGGCAATCACAGGAAGATAAACTGGTAAATACATTCGAGTGTATCGCTTCAATTTTATTTATCCTATTCAGAAGTAATTTTAGGATTCTTTTCTACCAGTTAACACAGATCCGTTGCGAATTATTTGGAAAATCTACTTCTTGTGAACCCTTTTTTGAGGCTAGACTCTGAATGCCGTTTGGCTATGGCTCTACTGGTTTTAATGTTTATTCCAAAATGGTAAGAAAACGTTTCAAGTCGTCACCGTTCTTTGCACACTGGACAGTTCTTTTTCGGTCTTCATCAATAATTGTTTTCTCTCTGTATGCGGATCTGTATTCACCTGTTAGCATAGGTCAATGATCTCAACTCCCTCCATTAAGATGTCTGCAGACGTGACCTGAGAAGTGATGGAGATCAAATCTGTATCGTGCACGCAGGGGTTCACGTGACTCCCACAAGGCTACTAAGTCCCTAAACTAGGATCGAAAACTCCCATCACGGCTAGACTGCACCTTGACGTGGTGTAATGGCTTGCGCGCTTCTATGACCCAAAGAGCTATACAGAATGGCTTCTTTAAGCCGGAGATGCAATCATACCTGACAGGTCAATGGGTAGGGGTCAGACAAAGTCCAGTCTCCTGGTCCTCCAGGTTGGGGGTTGATTTGAGCTGGCAGCTCGAACGAAAAAAACAGTGGAAGAATAATTGATCCAAGCAAAAAGGCTTCCACTAAGCCATCCCGCTGCCTTGTGGGTAGGTTCTTGTTAGAACTAAAGGCTTTGGATGAGGACCCTAATCGTTCTCCTGCTTTGTGGCTGGACACCCTATCAGTACCCGTCCAGCATCTCTCATGAACTGCACGAATACAAAGAATTCCATACTGCATCGGTCGTCGCGCAGGATAATCAGGACCACGCTGACCATTGCATCGAGCGGGGTAGGTAGTGATAAGTGGGCTACTGCTCAGAGTTCCCTCTCTTTTATTCAACCTTTGTCTTCTGTCCCTAACCACCCCTCTTTGCCCCATCTATCCACCCATAATGCTCCCACTGATGACACGGTTGATACCCGTAACGATTCACTGTCAAATAGTATCGGGAATAATCCTCTGTCTGGTAACTCACATTTTCTCAAGCCTCGTCAGCCTCTGAATCTCGGCTCCTTCAACGTGCGTACACTCATGCAGGTCAGTCAGCAGGCGTGCCTAGCGCTCACAATATATTCTCTGAAAATTGATGTCTGCTGCTTAAGTGAGACGGGTATACAGGATTCGAGCAATGTAATTCAATTAACTGTTCCTGGTATCTCATCGAGGTATTTTCTGCGCAATTCAGGAGATGAAGTAGCTCGAGCTGCGGGTCAACGTGGTGTAGGAATTGTCTTGACTGACAAGTATGAGGCTGTCCTTTTAGACTGGATCCCTGTTAACTGTCGTTTGTGTGCTGTAAGACTCTAAGGGTCAGTTGGCGTTCGAAAGGATAGTTGTGTTAAACGCAATTTGTTTGTGATCTCAGCGTACGCCTCAACGGACTACAGCTGAGACTTGCAGAAAGATGAGTTCTATGATGCCCTCGCCACTCTCGTTCGCAGCAGTAATGGTTCTGACATTGCAGTGCTTGCTGGTGACTTCAATGCACAAGTTGGCAAACTTAGTTTGTCAGAAACTTGTTTTAGTGGCCGCTGTGCTTTATCTGCTGAGCGTACACATAACAGGGATAAGCTTCTCCAGTTTTGTGCATTCGATCGATTGCTCTTGTCTAGCACCAATTTCCGACACAGCTCGCGTCGCACAGCGACATGGCGCTCTAACTCTACAGGTACTTTGAGTCAAATTGTTCATATCGCCGTAAGCTACCGGTGGCGCAGTTCTGTTCAGAACTGTAGATCTTACTGGTCCACGTAAGTAGAGTCGGACCATGCATTAGTTTTAATGCGATTATCTCTCCATCTCCATGGTCATCGTCGCAAACCCGATTAGCCGTGCAACGTTTGTGTGATCCAGAAGTACGCACCCTTTACGAGAAAAAGTTAGCACATGAGCTAGGATCTACGACGAACAATAATGTAGATGAGCATTAGGCTCATATCAAACAGGCGATGCACGTTGCAGCAGGTTTTACCTGTAGTCCTATATCCGTTGTCCATCAAAGACACTGTATCTCGCAAGAGTCGCTGAGTGTAATGGAGCTAAAGCGTCAGCTTTCGAACCGTAATGAGATGAATAAGATGTGGAGAAAGCTACAAAGGCAAGTTACGAAAAGTCTCAGGAATGATCGCGAAAATTGGTGGGTCAAGGTAACCGAAGAAATGGAAATAGCAGCTGCTTCAAGTAACAGTCAATGCATGTTCAAACTTATTCGTGACACCGGTGGATGGCGCATCCATGTCAGTGAAACGATTTGGGATAGGAATGGAGAACCCATCCACAGCAAACAGCCAAGGCTTGACCGTTGGGCCGAGTACTTCAAGGAACAGTTTAGCTGGCCGCACGCTAGTGAAGTTACTCCCGTGTCAACAACTGCGACTCCTTGGGTGGTATCACTTGAGCCCCCATCAGAAGTAGAAGTAGAGTCATGCATTCGATCACTAAAGTGAGGGAAAGCGGCAGGTCCCGAGGAACTTCCCCCAGTTCTTTCCAAACTGGGTGGAAATGTTTTAATAAAATAACTTACCACTTTGCTCCGTGACATTTGGAACGCGGAGCGTATTCCGTTAATATGGAGTGAGTCGTTGATTGTTCCCATCTTCAAGAGGGGAATACTCAATGACTGTAGTAATCATCGTGGGATTAGCTTAATTCCGATAGTCACCAAAGTATTAGCTTCGATTTTGCTGCACCGTCTTACACCGGCTCGCGAGAGGAATGTCCGCGAACAGCAGGCTGGATTCCGCCCAGGTCGAGGATGCATCGACCAGATTTTTACTCTTCGCCGACTACTTGAAGCGCGTCACACGCACCGCCGACCGACAATAATGTTTTTCTTAGACTTGAAAGGCGCTTTCGATTCAGTTGATCGAGCAGCGCTTTTCAGTACTCTTCGTCGAAAAGGTATGCCCCAGAAGTTCGTGAACCTACTGAGATCATTGTATTCTCATACTTCTGGCCGCGTTAGAGTTTACGGTGAACTACCCGATCGGTTCGAAACTACCAGTTGTGTTCGACAGGGATGTCCCATGTCTCCATTCTTGTTCAACTTTGTCATGGACGAAATAATGGAGAGTGCGCTGCAAAATCTTCAGGATATAGGCGTCGAACTAGGAAATAGTGAAAAGCTATGTGACCTAGATTACGCGGACGACGTTGTCTGCTTGTTCGAATGCACGGAACATGCTCAACGTGCACTAGATAGACTTGGGAGAGCTGTAGCCGTATTCGGAATGCGCTTTGCACCTTCAAAGTGTAAAGTGATGTTACAAGATTGGACGTCAACGATTCCGAGCTTGATGCTCGATGGGGAGGTGCTTTCAGTTGTCGACCACTTCACCTACCTCGGCAGCAACGTGACGACGGATAAATTCACTGTACTAGAGGTGAGCACGCGTGTATCCAAGGCTCGAGCGGCCTACGCTGGACTGAAGCAATTGTGGCGTCCATCTGCTATTTCACTGAAGTTGAAAGGTCGTGTATACTGTGCCGCAGTGCGTTCAGTTTTGTTGTATGGTTGCGAAACTTGGAGTCTGCGCGCTGAAGATATTCGTCGTCTTGAGGTTTTCGACCACCGATGTTTACGTAGTATCGCTAAGATCGGGTGGATTAGCCGAGTAAGCAATGCTGAGGTCAGAAATCGAGTATTGGGTACTAATTCGGAGAACGTTTTGTCACAGCGTATCCAACTTAGCAGACTTCGTTGGTTGGGGCATGTGTTACGTATGTCAAACACACGTCTACCGTATCGCGTCTTATTCTCCGTTCCTCCTAGGGAGTAAAAGAGACCACGTGGAGGTCAACAGATGACGTGGCAAGGAGGAATGAGAAAATGTACAGCAGACTTAGGAAAAGTAGGTGCTTCACGTCTTCGTGGTTGGGGTCCAAAAGATCCGTCTGCCAGTTGGCTGGAGACACTGAAGGATATGGCTGCGAACTGCGAACAGTGTCGATCGTGTTGTCACTTTCTATCGAATCAGAATGACTGATCGGTGTACGTTTGTACAGTTAGACTGTGTATTCCGTGTGTTGGCTACTAGAGCATTCTTTCCTTTCCCCACCCATGTAGGTCCAGTCCCTGTCCATCGTGTATATTCATACTTTCTAATTCAGCATGCAACATGGTGAGAAAGGCAGTGGTCAGTGGGGCTTGCCCTACCGTTTAGCACTGTACGATGATGATGATGATGATGTTTGGGTGTGTTTGGTTACCGTAGCCTGCGGTCGGTAAATTACCGAATAATCCGGTTGAAAGTCTTCGAAAGGGCAACATTGCTATGATGACAAGATCGCTTGATTGAATAGAGAAAGTGCATTTTTGTGCAGTTGAATGCTAATTTGAATTTTCCATTCCTATAGGCGTATGGTGCAGTCGCAACTCAAAAATGAGGTGCTGATGAAAACGTGGGGGCAGCAGAGCAAATCACTGACCTCAACAAACGCACGAAGAAGCGGTTGGCCATCACTGACGTGGATAGGACTGGAGTAGTAAGATATTGGACTTTTGAAAGCCTGTACCTCATGGCGAATCATCTACGGATCCAAATGTAGACCCACCGAGGCATCGCCTCAAGCAGGATTCGGAAAACAAAAATTTTCTGGTGAGTAGATCGCAAAGATCTATTCTGTTGCAGGAGGATATCCTAAAGTAACCTTTTCTGCGATCGAAAGGAAGGTGGAAATTATAAATTCTGAAATACGATCAGTTTATCGTCAATTGATCGCTTGCTTGATGGTCACAGGTATTCCGTAAGAAAGCTCACCCTTCAACTGATCGAACGGAATAGGTATGATACCAAGCAAATTACGCGCTGATTACGCAATCTGGTTGCGGGAACCGGGAGTACAGTGCTGTGTCTACATATAGACGAAAAAAATTACAGCGTGTAGTGCTCTCGATCGAGGGGGTGTTCGCTAAGAATTAAAACTTGCCTACTTACAGAGGTACCAATCTCGACGCTATGGCGTACTTTTCTCCCACCGGAATCATGTGATACGAATGCCACCCACGAATGAGTGGGTACATATTTAATCCATTCCTTGAGAAATACTCAGCAAAATTCGGTGCCGAACAGCCGGGTGCATCGACTGTATTTTTGTTCGGCAATGCCCCTACTCACATGTGAATGGAAGCTGTCATTTTAGCCCCGGGACATACTACTCGCTTTATCTCACCTTACAGTCCTTTCTTCGATCCCATTGAAGAAGTGTTTTAGCGGGTTCAAGAACACAGTGAAGCAAGTGTCAGTTGCACATAAAGTGACGATTTTGCGAATACCCGACGGACAAACCATCAGAAACTACAGATATAATTTGTTGGAAAGCATCGCCTCCCGAGCTATACAGAGAATCAAGCCAACAGCTTGTATTCATAAGGCAAACAGTTTTATTTTAATACTTCCAAAAATTATGGCAACTCGTAGGCGTAATCACAAATTGTGAGATATTTTTTATATAAAACACATCCACGCGACGCTCGTCGTGGACTGTTTGGGTCCCGTACTACAAATAAATGCAATGGAACAGTAAGTGTTGAGATCACCGAGTCACTTCTTTCGTGTTATCATTTCGATCCAGCTTTACCAGTAAAAGGTATCCGTTCACCGCTGGACCTATTTGTAAATAGGAGTTGCAATCACTGTTAGGTTCGAACAGGGTAGCTGGGTACAAACCGATCGACTGTTTATCCATATGTTGTTGAGTGTTTCACATGTGTGTCAATGTGTTCACTCAACTAAGTTTATTTCATAAGATATAGGTAACAAATAGTATTCTCATTTATCAGTGAAAGTGAACAAACAGACAGCGAACCAATATGTTGGCCATGGTATTTTGAACATCGAGAATATTCATCGTTTCTTGGGCCTACCTGCACTGTAGTCTTGTGTAGCATTGAAAATGGCTTATAAGGCTTCCTTTATCTATAATCATCGTTCATTTTAGTCCTGGACATCCCTCTGAATCGATAACTGCCCCGCCTGGAAGGTAGACCGTCGGTTATCGTTTAGAAGCAGCTGCACAGGACGGGTGGCTTTGGTGTGGGTGCGACCATGGACGAGACGCAAACAGAACCGAGCACGTACCAAGGCGTGATGTGAGTCACAGGCGCAGATTAAATGAACAGCAATCTTTAGCTGATTTGATTTGACTTGACATAGTGGACTAGGTTTTGGGTTACCGTAATACATGGTCATTAAATCCGCAAGTCACACATATATCCGTGAAAAACAACGTCGTCTGCGGTGATAATTTCCATTTTTAAATAACAGGGAAACCATATCTATGTTTCTGTGAATGTTGATTTTGAATGAATGTTGCCAGCATTTTGAACCGTATTGGATTGTGCTGCTCAAATATTACCCAGTCACAGTGAACTCTCAGAAGAATGCAAACCTTAAAAAGCGCAATGATCACCGTTGGACAAGATATTCGAGGAGTATGGTACTGTATGTGGAAATGATTGGTCGGAGCACACATCAACGGTCGGAATCATGATACTTGTAGGTGGTTGGCGTTGGCGATTTGTGAGTGGATAGTCATTTGGCTTGAGGGTGATGGGTCATTTTCAGGACCCCAACAATCTGGTCATTTGCTTCCGCGTTTCGCTTTTTTCTTATTCGTAAGATAATCCTAGAATATGGTGAAAAGAAACTGAATTATTCAGTGAACACGCGACGGTCGTAGCCACTAATCTGTATGGGTGAGCTTACTAAACGTCCATCCGTTCGGTAAGTCAAGCCCGAACGACGTTCGGAGTGTATCGAAAAAAAGTTGCTCCATGTGGTTTGTCAAACATAGTATTTTCTCTGTCATTTGTTTGCTTATCTAAAACACAAAATTTACACGCAAAGGTCATCGAAAAGTAATTCAGGCGAGAAAGACAGAAAGATTCAAGTGGGAGGGGTTTCCGTTATTTTTCGTACGATTGAATAATACTTCTAGCGGGGAATGTAGGTGTATTTGAACATCTTTTGAAGGTAATTAGGTTGGATACGATTACATTGTGCTGAGGCAGTGTTTTCGGGGTTAACAATGTGATTTATTGATTTCGGTGTTTCTGTCCATACGTTTGAGTAAGTTTTAGTGAAGTAGCTGTGGGTCCATTGTGTTACACCTAATCTTCCAGTCGCATTCACCAGTCTTGAATTGACGTCATATTTCCTTTGATTTGATTGTACATCTTAATCTTTCTATTTGATAGCAAGATATGCACACACGCACAACGTAGCAGGCATTAATCCGAGTCAACGTAGATCGCTCACGGCCCAATCGACGAAAAATAGAAAACACTACGCCCCGGAACACTTTTTATCATCAGTTGATGGTGTATCGTTTTTGCTCAGTCAAAGCCATGTCGAATGATCAAGCATATAGCGGTCGAAATCCATCAGTTGTGGTTGCTTATGATTGGCGAATCCTGCCGTTGTTGGTTGTGTTTTTATGGGGAAAGTTCAGCATAGTTTTTGTTGTCTCACATGAGAAACAATCAACATCCAACTACGGTTATGTTTTAGAGAACACAGATTGGCGAATAAGATCGTTTTCAGTAACTCATACTCGTCGTTACATCACAATATATAACTAAGGGATTGGGCCAGTTAGACAACTAGGAAGTGACAAAGAATGATGGTGACGAAAACCGAGAGAAAACTATTGTAATCCGGGCTTGATTCGAAACCAGATGTGGATTGTCTCTCACCTGCTGTGTAAGTTCTCACCTGGTCTATCGTTTGTTGTAGGATGGAAGCTGGACCAGGGGGCTTAAGATCACAGATAAATTGTTTTTGAGCACACAGAGAGGTGTTATGTAGGAAGATGCTGACATCCCCGGGCAATATATAGGGCACGAAAAGCCCCGGACAAGTTTACCCTGTGACTGAACTAAGCTGTGTGGAACGACCACACTAACGAGAAGCCTAATTGCTCCAGTGGTCGGCCTTGCAGTATGGTGATCGCGGATGCCTTCAGACGAAAGCCTGGTCATCTGGCCGATGTACATTATTCGACAGGAACAAGTGAATGAGTAGGCACAGAATGAGACTGCAGAATCGGGTATTTTGTTTCCTCAACCGCGAGACCAACAACATAAATAGCTATTCAGAACACGCCAGTGCGATTCATGATTGGTGCAGCATGAGATGGTACTTTGTCGTGTTCACTTAAAGACAAACGCAATGAGACTGAACGGCGACGTGTGGATGTGACAATCCTGCTCATCGGGTAAACATTCTAGTTGATGTGCGATGGGTGCACCTGGCTGCTAACGCTTGAAACCTCGGAACAGTCATTTTTTCCTATACATAGGTTGTTCATGGAGTATGAAGAATTGGCTCTAGTAGATTTCCAATTTGTCGCAACCACCAACGCAGTAGATGTGCAAAGTAGAGAAATAAGTCTCATTCGATAGATGTTGAATCTTGGTCAACAATGCATTCTCCTAGAAGTGTGATTTTACCACCTCTGAGCATTCATATAACCAGAAGGAATATCCATTGGAATTTATCAGTAATTTTGCGGATCTATCGCAGAAATCTAAGTAGGATGGACAGTTTTTAGTACAAGGTGAAGAAAATAAAAGTAGAAAGGATAATCTGCTCCCTCACATGTGGTTGCCGTCTGATATACTAGTATTTATAATATGGACAACGAACACTTTCATGTATCTCTCTATTAGCCAGTAAAGCGTGTCGGAGATTTTCTTTCGATAGGTCACCATTTATCCCAATCTGAATCATCCATGCGCATGTGTTCCACTCACAGTTGGTAAACAGTAAAATATGGAAAACCAATATTTCCTTGCCCTCCCTCCCCCCCAACACGTTCATTCTATTTGATGCTTGTAACTATATCTCTGACAGTTACTTGCGAGTAGGGTGTGGGGTTGACGATACTTTGTTTGGCTGACTGACCTTTAGACTTCACCTTTCACGCACAAACCTCAGGTCATCCAATCAACCTTGCTATCGGAAGAACTAGACTCAATTATTGCTCTTATTGGAGCTCATCATTGGTACACATCCTCCGCCGCACCCAGGATATGAACCCGGGCCTTTTCACCTCGAAAGCGCAGTAGCCTCTTTATGTATATATATATATATATATATATATATATATATATATATATATACCAAGCGCGAAGCAGGTTTAAATGTAAGCACAACAACCCATCGTGCGCAGAAGACCTGGGTTGGTGGGAGGCTTTCGCCTGAAGGTAACGGGACGGTTAAGGTTTCTCTTTTCGAAGCTGTTGGACATTGCCGGCTGTCATAGGGGACGATATCTGAATAAAAGTAACTCGTTGATTCGGATCAGGCAGGACGGCAGCGTTGTGGGGCATTGGTAACGCTACTAATTCTTATGAGTCTAACCCTCTGCTCTCATGATTTTACTGTTGCCCTCAACGGTAAACAATATACAGTTCAAGACCTTGCACCGGCTATCACAGGTAGCTAGCTGATCCTCAGCTAAATGTCTTTTCTCTCTGCTGGAATCGTTTACTCTGTTTTTTCTGTATTCTTTTCGGATTATGGGAACTGAGAATCTACTAGTTATCAAGATTCTGTGGCCAAGAGAACTGGAATCAAGTTTATCTCAATCGGACTGCGGAGAACGCAATCCAGAATACAACCAACCGGAACGTTTTCAAAAGCGTAACAAATTGCTTGAGAATGTGTACTGCATTGTCCCTACTCGCATTACGAATACCCATGTTTTGCGGTTTCTCTCGGTTTCCTGATTCTCTGCTGGATTTTTCATCTATTTGCCATTGTTGCCGAAATCTATCTACACTTTCCACGAGTACCATATTCACCACTAACTCATTCGTTCACATTTTGTACTAATTTTAAATGCCAAGTTCACCGCGTATTCTTCCGATTGTGTGTGAAAATATACACATTTAAACTAAAATATCCCATGACCTTCCAGTTTTGTGATGAAACACTCATGGCTTCTGATTTTAGTCCAGAATGCTGAAGCAGAAGTACAGGAGTGGCTAGCAGATCGACCAAGCCAACTATTGGAGAACCAAAGATCAAGTAAGAGCCAACGAATGTCCCACACCAGACAAAAGGTGCCTTTAAAACTTTCATATGAAACGCAGAAGGATCGGCTTTAGTCGGTGAGATATCCCATGTTGGTTGCTATCTATCAATGCTTCAATCGGAGCAGTCTGATCAACGAAATGGGAAAAATATGACGGGAAATGTACTCAGTGTCAGCTGACACACGGCTAGAACAAAGCCCAAATGCATAGTCAGCCGTAAGATCGATATTGCTACAGTGCAGATGTGAAAAAAATCTATTTGAACGGTTGTGCTTGCTTTGCCATTCTGGATTGTCTGACTGGTCAAACACATTTTTACTTTGCCCATCTCGTCATTTTTGTTACATGACGAAAATGAACATCATACTTTAGTGATCGCACACGTCTCACCACCAACCGTATCTTCGTCACAGTAAACGATCATCACAGTAGTGAATTCTTAAAGTAATTTAGGTTTCCCTAATCCATATCAGACAACTACATGTGTCCTTCAAGTTATGTTACTACTTACTGAAACCTGGGTTCTACTTGTGCGGTGAATATTCTCATAAAATTCGTCGAACCTAGCAACTTTAGCTTACGGCGCTTCCACAGTCACTCGATCCCTTGATTTTTCTCCCTTCCCACTCTTCATAATACGGCTTCATTTCGGTCCACACATCGAGAGATAAGATGTTTGTGACCGAGATTCAGTAGAAGTTGTATCCGTAGACGTTCACTTACTTCAATTATTCCTCCTGCGTTATCGATTTCACATCATTTTGTTCAAGTACGGTAATCTGCTAGGACCACAATTCGGCACTGCCTGGTTCCTTGATCGATTGAATTAAGTTCAGAATGTAAGATTACTCTACTAGATACTGATATGCAAGTGTTAGCAAGAGTAGATCGTTTTACTTTGTAGCTAGGTAGCTTG